TTCTTTTTATAAAAAAATTCATGTCTAAAGTTGTATCATATATTTAGGCTGGGAAGATCTATTTAGAAAAAATACTGATCATTATCATGCCTTAATATTAGTTGAATAACTTATATTTGTATATCTCTTGTAATCCAGTTACTCCAGAACATTGTGAGATCAACAGAGCTAAATTTCCCTATAGATAATAAGGATTTGAGTCCTTATTGCAAAGACTTATGCCAAAAGTTGCTGCGGCGTAATCCAGGTATTCCTTGAAAATCATTTGCTACTGAAAATTTCTTTTGAGTCTGAAGTAAATAGCTGCTAGACTCATTGCTAGGAAAAGGACCATGTGATTTGTATTGTGCATGTATGATCTGCTTCATCTGCTTGTGCCCTCTAATTGGGCCTAAAAGCATATAGATTAAAGTCAGGTGCAAAATGTGTATGTTTATGCACTTTTCCGAGATATATAAATTCAATATCTCATATGGATTGTGTGGTAGATATGAATAACGTAACTCAAGAGGCTACTTGTTGAATCTTGCATAATATCTATCAAAATTCAAATTAAGTGTACCTGACTATAATATAAGTAGAGTAGGTTGCTGATGATCATTATCTTAGGTTGTTTAGGCTATTAAATAGTCTTTGATGGTTTAGGCCTGGATGTCTTCCTAACTGATTGTTGATTAAGCTTATGAGAATTGATAAAATGCACGCACTACTAGTTTGTACCTGCTGGATTTAACATTCTGCCTTGAATCATTATTTTGTCATTATTTTTGCATCTACAGTGGAAAGGTTAACATTTGAAGAGTTCTTTAACCACCCATTCCTATCTCAGGGTCAGCCAGATGAGTCAAGGTAAATGAGAGATTTATTGTTGTGGATCTTGATATATCATAGCCAGCAGTCTGCGGAAGAATTAAACTTTCTGGTATATGCAGGATTTGGGCATTTTCAAGAACAATGGACAACTTTCCTTTGTCTGAAGGCCACCCTTTAAAGAACACAGAGGAAAGTTCTCAAGAGGACTGTCTACCTTTCCCTCTTGACAATGATTCTAGTGGTACTGAGGGGAGCCCTTCCTCTGTGAAGAGGAGGTCCTCAATGAAGTCGACATATGGATTTTCTATTGATACAAGAGAAAGGAGGGAATCAACATCAAATGCTTTAAATAACATTGATCTTACAATCAGATATGGTGGTACCAGACATAGATTGGATAATACTAGTTTTAGGCTTGAAAGCAATGAGTTTTCACATGAAACTGCAGATGAACCTCAGAAATCCATTGACCAAAAATTAGTCAATATTCAGTCTAGAGGTATCAACAATTTCTTTATCTGTCATTTCTCAGTCCATTAGACTATAATCTAGTTTCTTTCATGCCTTGCACAGAAAAGGAACATTCTGTATTTATAATCATTGTTGCTTCTTTTCTGCAGGTGGGGACCCACTAGAGATGATCGATCAAGATTATGTTATTGTGTCTGGCTCATCCATGGATTTGTCATCTTCATCAGCAAGTAGTTCCAAGGCAAACCATAGTCATAAACTGGGAAGTCCTCCCTTAACATCCATTAGTAATACAACTGCATCAGCTTCCCCTATACCAATCATTGGTGCTACCAACACTAACATCTATCACATTGGAAGCTCAGAAAGTCCAAACTCTGTTCCTGGGACTTCTCAAGGATCCATGGATATGCTAGATGCACTGGAACAGCCATCATCTCATGGTATGACGAGGATAAAGTCATTGCAGCACTGTGCATCTGCAATTAAGGAATTAGTAAATGAAAAGGTTAGTAATAACATGACATTATCATGCATCTGCAGGAACGATATGCCATCTAATTATTTCACTATTTTGGTTATTCACCAGTCAATTTTTTAAGTTTATATTGGTACTCTGGCGTATTTAATTGGCCTCTGATGAATGGCTTATAGCATGCTTACTAATGCAGGTTGAGGAACTCTTATGTCCTATTGACATTGTGGGGTGGAAATTGTTGCTGTATCTTTTTGAGTCATATGATTGACATCTGAAACTGATCATTTTCTATAGTTGATTAATTTATTGATCTAAATCTGTAAAATTCAAAACTGCTTTCCTCACTCTTGAATAACAAACTCACAAACCTTATATGCTTGTTTGCCAGATTCTGCTGTTGGTCTTTTCAGAACTTAGTTAAATCCAAGGCTGCAGAAAGTGCTAGGCAGTGGTGGGCATTGCACCATTGCCTAGTGCCTAGGCAGTGCTTAGGCACTATCTAAGCACTGTGAAGCATTCTAGGCAGCTTTATTTTTCTGCAAAAAAGTGCAAAAATAGAACAGGAAATCCAAAAAACAAAAAGAAGAAATGCCTAACTTTACTGCCTAGAGCCTAGGCAAGGCAGTAGAGCCCACCTAGGCAGGCTTTTTGCAACACTGGTTAAGTCTTCATGATATTAGCTTAAATATGCTGCTTGTGCTTTTCAGAACTTTATTATATCTGCATAATATTAAAATAAATGTAACTTTCATTATGATTCTTTGAATAGATTGGGACTGGCAGCCAGCTAGAAGCATTCTCAATTCAGCTTGTGATTCTCGCAATTTGGAAGAAGGCGCTGCATATTTTCCATACACTGGCTGCCTCAGCTGTAGAAGGAAGTCCAAGTCAAGACAGTGCAAGATTGAGGAGTACCAGCAAGGAGCTTGGTACACTTGACATGGAAGAATTTCAGGATGTTGTCAATATTGAAGGTTCAGAAGATATATCTTCACAGATTGAGAGGGAATTCCTACAGGAAGTTGAGCATGCTGAGGAATTTGCCAAAGTTATTGAACCTGGTACGTCTTTGATATTACCTTCTGATATAAGCAGTCCAACCTTTTTCCATTGCGTTCTAATTTTGGTCCCCCACATGAAAGATGATTCCTTCCTTTTTGATGGGTGATTTTTCCTACTTGAAAACCAGCAATGGTTAGTGAACTTCCAGAGTATGTGCTCTTAGGTGGGAAGGATTAATTCAGTCATAAAGGGTCATTACTATTATCATTACCATGCTGTGTGAAAGAGCATTTGATCTTAAAAATGTGAACATCTTGTTGACCTTGCTACCTGTAGTTTCTCTATCATGTTGGTGTTATTAACATGAACACGTGCATGTTGTCTTCATGTAACTTCTATGATTCTAAAAGATCATCTTTTCATTATGATCGCAGGAAGTACAGAGATGCCTGATGCAATGGAGACAATATTCCAAGCTGCCCTTACTCTTGGCAGACATGGAGGAGTAAGTATTCTTCTTTTTATCTCCAAACATGTACTGCCTTCTCGAAATTATAAATTGGCTGGGACCTTTGTGTGCTTTATAGATTATATTTTTTTTTTACTAAAACATTAAGGTAGGTAAACTAGTTAACAAAAGCTGGCAGGCTACATGGAGTATACTAAATTTGCATGCAAATAATAGACCTGGAAATCCAGAGGGTAGGATTGCATAGTCCTTGACGGATCCCATGGAAAAGCGGAGTTAAGGTCATAGAAAATGAAAGTGAAGTAAACAAAAAAAAAAATCCTCTGTAAACTTTGTTCTCTTACATGTCTTGACAGGTTCATGAGCTGTTGGGTAATATGGAAAGTGCAGCTCTGTTGTACTCAAAAGCAGTGCGGTTGTTAGTGTTCCTTCTAGTGGAAGCACAATCGCTCATTCTCAATCCCCCGTTCTCTCTCACAAACTCAGACCGGTATAGACTTAGAACTTACATTGACGTTCTTAACAACCGGCAAGGTTATTCAAGATCTCAGAGGATGTCGCTTCTCAACTGTAAGGATCAGTCATGATCCATATATATTTTTTGCCCTAGATGTCTAGCCCAGTTTTATTTTGTACAATATTTATTTGTACGGTTATTCTTTCAGTAATGAGAATTAGAGTGCTCACAGGGGTCGTCAAACTGTATAAAGGATGGATGGAGGTTGTAATACTCATTTCATGTTTTATGAATTTTAAATTTTGACGTGTTTATGTCTTGAAGAATAGAGGATCTCCCCTTTGGCAAACTTATCTTCATTCTATTTTTAAACAAAAATGTGTTTTGTAGTTTGTACCACATCAGATTACAAAACAACATCTATTGGATGAAGGGGCCTTTGATAGTGTTTTGCAATTTGAAACAGTTTGAATTGTAAAACACCTTTCTTATTTGAAAATATAGGAGGCATAATTGAAATGGAAAAAAAAAAAAAGGGTTGGAGGTATGACCGTTAGACATCCTAAAGTGTGGGGCATAAAAATGTATTAACTCAAGAGTGAAAACAAAGAAAAGGTCCTCAAAATATCTCCTCCTCTGCAAAAGTTCACAGAATTAATCAAAATCTTCAATTGAGACCTTCATATCATATCCACTTCCACTTCCCGCGCTGTGTCTCCGAATGTATATAAACCCTCAGAAATGATGGGAACTTTACCCCTTCCCTGTCCTGTCTCTGTCAAGACTCTAACTCTCCTTTGACCCAGGAAACCATGACCAAGATCGACGCCCTCCGTCGGTTCTTCTTCCCCTGCCTCACCTCCACCGATGCCACCAATAAAGTTACTCTAAACAAGAAACGTCTCAGCGCCTCCCTGAGAGACGACCAGGGGAGCCCCACCAGAGAGCCAGAACCCCAGAACCAAGACAAAGATTCCCAGGAATCCACTACCACCGTCGATGAAATCACCTCCGCAATGGGCCACCGCGCCCCTCCAAGTCCATTGTGATAGGCACCATCTTCGGCGACCGCAAAGGCCACCTTTGGCTCTACATCCAACACGATCGCCTCTCCTCGAAACCCTCTCTCCTCCTTGAACTCTCCATCCACACCCACCAACTCGTCCAAGAAATGCGCTGCGATCTCGTCCGCATCGTCCTCGACTGCGACTGTTCCGAGCTCTGTTCTTGCCCTCTCTGATTGATCCTGTTTTTACCCTGTTCTGCAATGGCCGGTAGATTGGGTTCGCTTGGAGAAGAAAGGCCAGCAACCAAATCAGCCCACTTCGAAAGACAAAGCAGTCAATAAATGTGGGTGCTGGAGTGTTACCGGCCGGTTCGAGGCCGTCTGATTCGGAGGATCTCACATACATGAGAGCAAGTTATGAGCATGTTGTTGGTAGCGCTGATTCAGAGTCGTTTCACCTCATAAACCCAGATGAGTGCCCTGGTCAAGAACTCAGTGTGTTCTTGATACGATCCAGTTAAAGAGAATCAAAGAACACGTCAATTTTCTCTAATTCATTAAACCCAGAAATCAAATTCTGTTTTCTGGGTTTTTTTTCTCAAGAGGGGTTTGATTGACGTTCATCTTATCAGGGTTATGATTTTGGGAAGGGGCATTTTCATTAGTTGTAAAATTTACTGGAATTTTTGAGTATATGAGGATTTTCCATTTTCTTTTTCTTTCCCTAGAAAAGTGACAAGGTGTTAGAGAGGATGGTCCAAGAATAGACAGGAGATACTAGAATGAATTGGTTCTTGAGGATGATGTTTCCAGCAGATTTTTTGTCTTTCTGTAGTTGGAACTCACGTTTATCTCAGGGCTTAACAATGGCTGCAATAGGATGCTTCAATTTTGGCCATGTTCTCATTCTCTATGGCCCTGAGGGAAGTACATGCATTTTGAATTGAACATAATGATATATTTTTACGTTACTTTTAATTTTTCCTAATGTTCAAAAGATTTTTCTATATAAACCACTTGTTAGTTGTTTTACATATTGAAATTGTTTCTTAAAAGTGTAATTTGTAGTCTTAGACAATTTAATACATCGTTAAAAATGAGAATGCATATTGATTCATTTAATTTTTATTTTGTTAATGTATCAAAATTTTATTGACTTGTTATACCATATCAGATTGTATTATTATTTTACGGTAAATTTTTTCATAAAGATGAACCCTCAATCAATGGAAAATGATGTAAAGTGTATTTTTGCAAGCATGTGAATCACATAAGCTAAAACCCCACGAAATAAAACTCTTGGATCAGTCACATATAAACGTTATTGAATTTTAGATTGATCCCATTGCATGCTTGTAGTTTTGGAAACTTTTTCATGACCAAACAAAGAAGTTTTTGGTATTGTAAATGTATGAACCAATGATTTCATAATCATGGAGTATCTACTCCTTAAAAGTTAGTGGTCATAAGTTAAAGTTGTATGATAAATAAGTCGGATGTGAATGAATACAGAGATGCAAAAGAGTTTACCTGTTATAGCACAACTCACAAATTTCTTTGTTATGCAAGGTTGGGTGATTTCTAATGTGACGATTTACCTAGTCTTTGAATAATCTACCCCCATAGAGATGATATTTTAATGCCCACAGATTTGAGTTCTTATGAAATACCTTAATAAAGATCACCCTACAACTTTCCTCCTCGATGACAATCAGAGACTCTTTCTTCCTTGCTAAAGTACTCTCTTTTCCATTGCACCATATTAAAAATAAAAATAATAATAATAATTAATACACATTTAATTTAACATATAATTTGATATATGTTTTGATTTAGTTATTAAAATATAATATCAATATAACTGATTCAATTAATTCTTATATTTTGTATATATGAATGCATTTTTAAATTTATTTACTTTTAATTTTAGCTTAAAAATAATAATTTTTTTATAAATATATTATATAATGTATTAAATTAAAATACACATTAATTAGTATCATATAAAAAAAAATCCATACAAAACTTCTCCATGAATCTAATAGAGCTAAGAAAAGCTGCAATTCTAGACAGGGGCGGAGGCAGAAATTTTCTTCAGGGGGGGCAAGATGTTAAAATTTTCAAAGTTCAGGAAGGGCTAGATAATTTTTTATATACTAATTATATACTGATTTGCAAGATTTTCAAATTTCAAGGGGGGCGAGCGCCCCCCTCACACCCCCTGGCTCCGCCACTGATTCTAGAGAGAGAGATATGCCGGTCTGTTGTAGAGCCGCGTTACAGAGTTAGCTTACCAGGCTCAGAATCCCCCTGACGTCTCGGATTGTCAGTCCATATGTCATTACATCAAACATGAGTATTTCTATTTCTTAATCTCAGAATCTTCGGTAAGAATTAGAATAAATGTTGGTTCCTTCTTCATTTCTTTTGCTAAACAATTGCATATTCGATACCATAAAAAGATTAATCTTTGTTTAGTCATCAACCATACGATTCAAAAATACATATGTAATTGTGCTTAATTAGTGGAATCATAAGTTTGCAATAGCTATACCAAAGCTAAATGGAAAACTCATTTCCTTCAATTGGTAACGCAGCCACGAATGATTCAAA